CATGCTAGAATGCAACGTCAGCAATTTTACAGTGGCTAGGGGTCAAGCAAGCTGTGCATTGTGAAATGAAAACTAAATGCTACCTGCCTGACTTCTAGCAAGCAACATGTAATAGGTGAGTTTTCACAAGCAATTTAGAAATGGCATGTAACTGAGCAGCAGACAGAACAAAATTAGTCTTGCTCAGAACAATGCTCTTGCACAATTAACTGCTGCCTAGCAAGACAGGATCAAGAACTGTTGCCAACCATAGCTATTTTTAAGAGACTTAGGGCAAACTGCAAACATGCGATTGAAGCAGAAGGCCCCAAAGCCTGTTTCTGAATGAGCAAAGAATGACCCTCTGCCAATGTTTCATCTAGCCTTGTCAGCAATCTAAAGAAAGCCATTAACATGTCCAGATAAGCCGGTAGCAAGATTACATTAAACAGAGCAAAAGGCCCAAAAGGAGATATTATACAAGAAGTCACTAAAGTAAATAATCTAACACACTAAAGTCTGTTGCAGCTTTAGCTTAAGAATCTTAGTAGTAAATTGATGAACTGTATGAATTAGCTATAATAACTATACTTGTGTTAATTTCCTAGATAAGTTGTAAAAAATAAATGCAGCCATATCAGTAGAGACCATAAAGCAAGGTGTAAAGTGAACAGGATGATGGCGAGCAATATTCAAAATGCTGAGGGAAGGAGGAGAAATCCTGCCTACCAAAAATTGTAATTTTCATGAGGATGTAAATTTCACCTGACATCTTCCAAGACCATAAAACTATTTCATTGAGACTTGGGAACTGGACTGAACCAAAAAAATGTAGATAACCCCATCAGAAAATGTGCGTCCCAATAAGACACGTATGTATATGGGTAGGGATCTACTTAAATTGTCATTTAGCAGATTTCGCAGAAATCACAAAATCTGGGATTGTCTGCAGAATCAACAACAAAAAAATTAATAAAAATAAAATGCTGGCTTCCAGTAGGAGCCAAAGGACTTCACTGCCACTGCAGCTCAGCCCTGTAGCCTGCCCAGGAGGGAAGATGCCCACTGGCAGGGCGGCAGGAAGGGCAGCAGAAAAAATGGCTCCCAACCCCTCGCTCCACCCCTGCCCTGGTGCCTCTCTGCCAATCAGTGCTGAGGGCGGGGCTGCAGAATTTGCTCTTTATGCCATGACCAAACTGCAAAAATTGGTATGTCTAACTGCAGCTTAAGTATACATATGTGGTATAGCCTGAAAGGAGAATTGAAAAATTCAGCAAATCTGAGCAGGCCAGCTGCTGGGCTGTGTCATCCTTATCCACCCTCCTGAGTCTCCCCAGGCAGTATAAGTGACAACTAATATTGCACCATTGCACTATATTACCATGAATAGGCAGTTGGGCTATAGACCTCTCTCTCTTGCCTCTTTGATCAGTACTCAACCTACCAGTACACCTGCTATCCAGATAACCTGCTATCTAGGTACTGCATGTTCAGTGTGTTCTTAGTGAAGCTGGGCCTTTGGCAGGGACTCCAGCATGGCGTGCTCTTGAAGCAGCTGCCAAAGCAATGACATCCGCACACAAAAAGTGTGGCAGATGAGTAAGGAGCAGCTGGCTCATTTCCTCACTGCAGCATAGTTTGAAATCTTAGCAAGCCCAGCCAACATTAGCATACTTGGGCAGGCCTGCAAAACAATTTCCTTGTCTCCCCCAGGCATTACCTCACCTCCCTGTCCAAGAGTGGTCTATTTAGTCCTTTCTTTGAAGAGGGTCAGTGAAATAGGCCCCAAGTATGGATGACTCATTTCACTTATTTCACCCCAGTGGCTCTTTGCAGACCTAGAACATATGAACCTAATGCCATACTAGGTCTAACCAGAAGTCCATCTAGCCCAGTATCCTGATAGCATAAATAGCAGATGCTTCAAAGGCAGCCACATACTTATTCCTTTCCAGCCTAATAACTGCCTTACATTTCCAAGGTTAACCTCCATGAGGAAGGAGGACCAAAATATTTTATTTTAAAAATATAAATGAAAAATGAGCTCACTACAGCACCTCATTGCTGTTAAATGCTGAATGGTATCTGCCTCTGCAGGCAAGTATACAAGTGAGAATCCCAGTCAAGTCAATGGTCTCCTGAACACTACTGTTGGAATAATGGTAGCACTGAAGAGGTTAAGGACTAAACAGAATTGACCACAGTTCTATTTGGTCAATATTTTCTGTTATCAGAGAAGGAGTTGGAGGCCATTTAAAGTGAAGGAGGCCTTGGCTTCCAAATTATTGTCTTCAAAATCCTCCATGCACACACACCAGAAGCCATATTTAAACAGCAAATGTGGGTGTGACAATGTTCAAAAGAGCAAAGCAAGTAACAATAACAGTGGGGTTACAGAACATAGATTTTGCCTGATCACAGAACAAATAACCCTACCCCTACCCCCGCCCCCCAGCACATGTATAAATACCCTTAAAACGCATTAGGAAGTCAGAGACTTTCACAGGCTACAGCCTAATTTGCCAGCATCTGACAAATTAGTCTGTAGCCTGCAAAAGCTTCTTAAGTGGCCAGGCATTCAGCAGGTATTGAACTCAGCTGCCGAGTGATAGGTTGGACAGCTGAGTGAACAATTTATTCACAGAGTTTAGATATATTTCTTGAATTCCAACTGGTATAAGGAATGATTACTGCACTATTTAAAGTTGCTGAAATCTTTTTTATGAAAAAATGTCTTCCTAAGATTCCCTAATTAAGCACCCTGTGTAGTATTCTATCAAGTCTTTCATATTCTTAATGTGCAACTGGTCCCCTACATCACATGGTATACTGTTTCAGTTCCTTGACTTTATAAATTGCTAGATACATTGGTTGCTAAACTGGTTTTGCTGGAAATTAATTTGGTTTATTAACTAAAGAAATGTTATTCTGTGATCAGGCAAAATTTATGTTCTGTAACCAGATGCACAACCGAAATGTTTGCCTGCAAGAATGCCCAGGAGGGGTAAATAAAAAGGATTGTGAAAATGCCTGAAACAAAATTTTCTTTTAAAAAAATTGTGAATAATACTTACTGAGCCTTCACTATTAGTGGCAGCAATATGAGGCAGCAGAAATGTCCTTGAAGATAAAAAGGTCCCTTTATATATCTTAGGGATAAGTTGCTAATCAACAGGTGCAGAAAAAGCAGACATCAAAACTTCTTAGTGAGAGGAAGTGAAGTGTGAATGTTGAAGGGACAGCTGAGTAACTGTGAAAAAGTAAAAATGAAAAACAGAAATAAAGTAGGCACTGCAGAAGCTCATGTCTGAGGCACTTCTTTTTAAATGCCTTGGTGGATTCAGGCCATCTAAACTCAATGACACTGCAAACCCAACTTCAATGCTGTTACTACTGTCTGTCACCCATGAAAATGGGTGAAAATGCCCAGCTGGCTCCCTTTTCATATACACACTATATATTTCCATATGCCCAATGGTAATTCTGGATGAAATTCACACTAGCACAGAGGGCTGCACAAAGCCTAACTGCACTTAAAACCGATTTCAGCCCTAAGGTATAGCTAGGGTTACTGTATTTCCAGTTCCAAAAAAGAAGACACCTGTTGGGGGGACACCGCACTCCACATCCACAGCCCCCGGCCCTACCAGTGCCCCTCACTCCCAACCTGCAGCCCCCCATCCCTGCTGCTGCCCCTCACTCCCGACCATCAGCCCCTGCTTCCCACAGCCCTCAACTGCCCCACCCCAACCTGGAGTGCAGCAGCTCCTATTTATGCGGGCAACGGTGGAGCAAGTCTGGTCCCAACTCGGGCAGGAGGGAAGAAGGGCTGCCTGTGACACCCCCCACCTTGGGCTGCAGCTCCAGTGCCACACCAGGAGGCCTGACCATGCTCCCTCCCCTGGGCAGTGTCTCCCAGCTGGCCTGGCCCTGGTGCCACCAGCCTGGCCACAGAGCTCCCACTGCCCTCAAAGGGCCCCCTACTTCCCCCACTGCAGGAGCAGGTGCCCACATCCCCCTGCCCTGCCGCAGCCTCAGCGCCCAGACAGCTTCCCCCAGCACTGGCAGGCACTGCCCCCCTCACATACCCATGCCCTCCACAGACCCCTGCTGCTCCCCCGCCCACACACCCCACAGCCCCCCAGACAGACCCCAAGCCCTGGCCCTCCAACCCCTGCCCCGCCACAGACTTACCTGCATCCAGCTGCTGAGGCTGCTCCCACAACCCTGCCAGGTTGCATGCCAGCCATGTGCGTGTGTGTGCGCAGATATACGTGCACCCGCTGCCTCCACTCGCCCTCCCTTTGCTTCTGCCAACAGAGTGGAGCAAAATCCTGGACATTGGTTCGTATTTCAAAAAACTGCCCAGACGGAGGGTCCAAAAAGAGGACGTCTGGAAAAACCTGGACGTATGGTAACCCTAAATATAGCTTATGTCAGATGTTAAGTCTGTTTGATACAGGCCCCCTTTAAAATTATCTTGAATTTATAAATCCAGGTTTGGACAGGTTCTTGGGCTGCTGCTCTGTTTTTCTTTCTTTCATTGTTTTTATAATGGTGTGCAGTCTTGCTTTGTTTCTTTTTCTTTTTTTTTTAAACAATCCTTTTAGAATCGAGCAGCAAATATCTCGCCAACATACCAGATATAGCGTTCCAGATTGAAGTGGACTTGCCAAATTCAGAGATATACTTTGGTAATAAACTGTCACAAATCTTCTTTATGTCCTGATTGAAAAGATTTAAGTCAAGGGCACTAGTTTGTATTCTGGACATCATTTGATATTAAACATTTTGCTATGACTCTGTAGACTAATTAAGAACCATCTCTTTTCACTAGGTCTGAACATGCAGGGTCAAATATGAATTTGATGGGACAAAAGTCAAACTTTTATTGCTCATGCAGTAAATCCTGAACAGCTGTTCTGGATAATTGATTCACAAGCATTCCATCTCACAAGATAGTCACATGCAGAAACACAGGGTGCATATTCTCACTTGCAGTAAGCCACCATACTTGTATTGGCCAGTAGTAGAGTTTTTGTAACTCGTAACAGCTGAAGCCTGGGCTCCTCGGGTTCTTTTTTAGCTAAACATAAGAAAATTCAAACCAAAACAAAATGACATAAGGAATGATTTTATAATAAGGAGATATTACTAGGAAGAGCATTAGCCTTGATCACTATCCTTGAATAACATGGATTGCTTACCAAACCACTACATGCATTAAGGTTATGAGACTTCTGTATAAAGAAATGCAAGTAAATGATTACTTAATAGACAGTGTGAATAGGCAATGCTCAAAAATATGTACCAATATGTACCTGGGTTTTGCTGATTGAAAAGCATTGCTATGCATAGCAAGTTACAATCCCTTTCCACATACAGCTCCTACAAAGGTAACCTCCAAATAAAAAAAAGTGTAGTGAAATGGAAGGAGTGAACCCAGAACTGGAACTGAATCTCCAAACACTGAAGTCATTGAAACAAACAACACTGTTGAGCACCTATAAATTACAAAAGCAAAGCTACTGGGGTTGCTTTTGAAAACTTCGGAAGCCCACCTCTGCATATACAGATGTACTTTTTGTGCCCTATTTGCACAGCCAGCAATGACAATTTATGCATAAATGGACTAAGACATGCCTCATGCATTGTTGCACATGCAAATGCACAATTTGCATACAAGGTGACAGAAAGAACTTACATAAATTAGGGGAGATAGTGTAGACTAGGTTTTGTTTTCAGCCTTCGAATACTGCAGTCATGAAGATCAAGCCAAGTCAAATTTAGCTTCAAACACTGCAGAGGCCTTCCAAAGGTCAGCACACCACCAGAAGTCAAAATGGAATCAGTTTCAGTTACTAAGCACCCTATTGCTGAAAAGAAAAAAAATGGATTAGGAGCTATAACTTGCACCTGGGCAGCTACCGGTCATTGCCTCATTTATGGGAAACACGGAGGGTGAAAGTGAAACTAACAACGTCATTTCTTTTCCTTTTAAATGCAACTCTTGTGTGCCTTTATAGCATATCTTACTTTATCTTGGCAAACATAGATAGTGCTATGATTACAGCTTCGTATTTTATTGCTTATACTAGATGGTTAGCTGTTCCACATTATGTGCTGAATTAGCACAGTTTTGTTTCTTTTTTTAGTCCAGCTAAGACTGGAAGGGACCGTTGCAATCATCTGGTTTGGTCATAGGTCACTGTCACTCACAGGGCAATTGGCATTCTAGTAATTCACAGGGATCTGTTTTTTCAGTGACCCAGTGCCTCAAATGGTGTTGGACACGCTGCACTATTGAAGATGCCCAGCTGGGTAGTTAGGCAGACAGAACTGCACCCACTGCTCTAACAGGGAGAGCAAAAATATCTTCCACCACTTTCCAATTCCCACTCACGGTGCTAAAGCAGCAGTGCCCAAACTTCCAGATGAGTGGTGAGGGGGTTGACCTGCAGACCAGATCCTGTATGGAGTTGCTGTGTGGTGGATCCAGTGTGTTAACCCAGCCCCATGCACTAGCCCAACTTTGTGTGCTAGCTTGACCTGGCACGCCAGCATGGCCCTGTGCACCTGGATCCAGCCATGGAGCAACCTCATGCACCAGGCCAACTTTAAGTTGGTGAGATCTAGTGCACAGGGTTGCATTTTCTGGCCCACAGGTCGGAAATATGGTAGTAGAGAAGTAACAGTTCACCTTTCCACTCTCTCTGCCACCAAATGTCAAGTCTCATGGGGAGCTCCATTGGATGGATCATACAGCTTCATGAGCTAGATCTGGTTTGTGGATGAGAGACTGAGCACTACTGCTCTAACCCATGCTGGAGGAGAACCAGAGCTAAGCATCCTTTACCCAGGGACACCCATGCTGTAAAATTGGGCTAGCAAGGGTAAACTGAGGCCAATTATTTAGTTGCACACCTGCTAGAGAAGTTGCCAGTCCTCCATTACAGCAGTTTGAAGTCCCTTTTGTGCCACCAAATCCAAGCAAGAGACATATAGCATGGCCAAAAATCTGGCCCATCAATTTGCAGACAAGACATAAAATTGAAGTCCCGATTATTAAAACCCTGCCTGTCAGCATTGTAAACATGGAGACTGGTGCATGAATGGGAATATTTATTCTTAGCTGTGGGCTCATGCAAGTTACCATTTCATAGCACAGCTCTCATATTCGCCAGCCCTGTCCCCGCTGCCGCCGGCTTCTGTGGGTGCCCCCCCAGACTCAGGAGGCACCAGTCGCCCACGTCTAGCCACATGAAAAATCAGGTTGGTGCAATGTGATGGAGCTTTCTAGGAGAACAGAACTGATACCTTTAATGTCCTAGAGAAGTTAGACCTCATGTGATCTCCTTGTAACTATATAAAAGTTCCCTTTGCAAGTCCTATTGGACATGCCTTTATTTTCTGTCCTAAGTGTTGCCCTGTGCTGTTAAATACTGTCCAGTTTTCATCAGAGAAAGAACTGCACATCTCATTGGTGGGTAAAATAATAAAAAGTGGATAAAGACAAATTTGCTAATGCACACATGGTTTATAAAGCCTTTTAGGATCCATTTAAATTACTCAACAGAAAATAGAAGTGTAATAGTACCAAGTATCAAGCTACTGATTTTTCTCATTTGGCCCCAATTCTTGGAGATGGCCAATGCCTTCTGGGAGATGCAAGATGCCCTTAATGCCCCTTAATGTCATTCAGAGTTAAAATGCTTAGTATCTTGCAAGATCAACCGTATACAAATGGAAGCTGCCTGGGACAGCCCCAAAAGTTACAGTAGCAGGGTTCAAAATGTACACACCAGCTGCTTCAAACACTGGGTGCTTTCTGCATCAAAACAAAGCTGCAGATCTTCAGCATTGTGCATCTGCTGTCAATTATGGTTATTTTCCCATTTTCAAGTTATTTTACTAACATGAATTTGGGCCAGAGGCAAATGAGCTTGGGGGAAAAATCCCAATTTAAAAGAAACAAAAGTGAAAGTAGATGCTGGGTTTGAGTTCCTTTATCTTGTGATTTGTAAAACAGATTGGCATGCTCTTTTCTTATAAAGGCTGCATTTCCCAGCTCCTAATAAGCAAAGCTTCATTTCTACTTCTGCAAATCTTGCAGACAGCTGCGAAATGCTGTGGTCTGATAACTTTGGGAAGATTCCCTTTCAACATCACCAACTGAGAAAAGGTGCTGTTAGTGTGCCCGGACTGCCTTCATTTCCTTAAACCACAGCAGAAAGTTTAAGTTTCTGTTCTTGTGTTAAGCATCCTGCACCTCTCTTGCAATATGCTAATTTATCTGCAGATAAATACAGCATGGAGAGCACTACAGTAGGCCTCCAATATGCCTCAATTGTTCTCTCTTGTATCCACCAATTGGATGTATGTGAATGTATAAAACCATTCCTGCAATAGTATCTAACATGTTTATATGTTATCATGATATCCCATGCTGGGCAGAAACATCCCTCTCCTAAAAATGAAGATCCAAATTTATCACTATAGGAATTTGACATAGGGATATAATTTTTGCAACATTTCTTTACTAGTCAAAGCCCTGGTATAGGTGCAGTTATAGGGCCAAATTCTAGTTTACCTATTACCATATTTTCACACACATAATGTGCCCCCCCACCCCCAAATATAACACACACCCTATTTTTGGAAGGCCCCAGGAAGTAGTGGGGGGATGATGACGGACTCTCACCTTGGAGTATGCTTAAGTACCAAAGGACTTGGAGTTGCTAGGGTTTGGGGGTACATTCACCACTGGGGGGAGGGGTATGCACAGCAGGGTTGGGAGGCCATGTGCCAGGGCTGAAGGCTGCATGCTGGGGAGCTAAAGGCAGTGTGCTGAGCCTGGGCGAGGGGGTGGGAGGCTGTGCACTGGGGGCCAAAATAAGCTTCATCATGCAACCGAGATCAGCTGTTTGGGCTGCCCTTAAACATGGGTGCACAGACAGTCAGGCAGGCCTATTAGCAGCCCTCCTGATCTCAGCTGGAACCATGCAGTTGATCAAGGTGTCTGGTGCAACATCTAGCAATCTCTATACCAGCTGGGGAGATTTAATTCTTACAGGCAGCCTGGACTGAGCTACCTGTTGCCAATAGTTGATCCAGCTTGTTTAAACTGACTTGGGTACCTCTAGGTTACACTGCAGTCTACAAATACACTTACAGGCAAAAGGCTCCTAAGCCTTCAAGTGGATTGAGATGCCTGCAACACATGTAGAGAAAGTTGAAGGGGACTGAAGGGTTGCTGCATCATTCATGTGGGAGCAAGGATGTGTAGTATGAGAGAGCTTTCCTGATGGAGAATAATGAATCACCATCTCTATTGGCAAGGTAGATCCTGCTTTTTGCACAGCATGGCCATTCTGCTGCCAGGCAACTGCATGACAAAATAAGAGAGAGGGATGCACCACTGTTTGTCCCACTGTTAATCAAGAGCAGTTTAAACTACACAACATTTCTATAGTTCAGGTCTTGATTTTAAACAATCAGTTGCATACCTGGGCCCACAAAGTTCAGGGTAGTTTGAATGCCAGCTTCTGGCTCATCCCAATCCAGAGATGCTGAAGCCTCAAGAGCAGATCTGGTTTGGCACTAGTTTTCTAACCTCTTCAGAGTTTGTTTCCAATCCAAGCCTGTGGCTAATTTTAGCATTGATTGAATGGTCTAACTAAGATTAAATACACGTTTAACCTCAGCAGGATACATGCCGTTCTTACAGTATGTTATAGGAAAATTTAATTAGGTCACATTTCCATCTGAAATATAATTACATTAAACCACTTAAAAATAGATTTATTAGCATGTTATATCAATTTACTGCTTTTCTATTTCCACACTATTTTGCCAGACTTTGATTTTATGGGATAATTCTAACAATTTTTCAAACTGAATAAAATAGAAAGCAATGCAAAATTCACAAGTTTCATTACACAGAATTGCACAGAATGCAGTCACCCCTGCATTCTTTGTAAAACACGTCTGTCAGAGACCTTGCCATACTTTTATGCAGTAGCTCAGTGGTTAAATCACATACCCAGGGTGTGACAAATGCAAGCACACCTCCTTTCTTTGAAAGGATTCAGATGCACATCTCTCCAGAGAGGACCCTAGCCATCAGGCTAAAGGTTGGTCAGAGATGGGAGGACATTTTCCATTCCCCCTGATGAAGTTTCCATAGCCTAGGACGCTGTATATCACAACCATGACAATCCCAAGATGCAACACAGAACCTAAATAGTGAGGTGCATCGCAACATTGTGGCACCTACATCCCTTTTAGGATCTGCAATTTTCCAAAATTCACTTAGGAAGTCTGTGGAAGACCCCATGCTTTCCAAATCCTATGTGCACAGTGGAATATCATTCCTTCTCAAATTACCTCTTTTCTTGTGCTTGTTTCCCCATCTGTAAATGACTTCCTGTCTGTGCGAACTATAGATAAGGCAGAGAGTAAACAGCATCTACTATTGTTCTTCCAAATGGCACCTCCTTGCCAGCTTGTATGAACATCTCCCATCACTTCTGGCAGCAACATGGGAGGAACAGGGAGGATATCACTTTGTTTATTGTAGTCAAAGAAAGCTGATCTTGACTTCCAGGTAAAATGAATTTTATGTCTTCACTATAATTATGGACAGGAAGACAGTAGAATAGCTATTAATTGCATTAAGATGGTCATTGCTGAAAGAGTGCTAATATGTACAAAGAAGTAGTTGAGAGGGTAAAACGTAAGACAAACGGTTGTTACAGCTCCCCAGCTGGATGATTTCAATGAGGCATGAATGAATCTGCTCTTTAGCCTGGAAAAGCGCAGGCTCAGGGGTGATCTGAAGGCCACCTGTAAGTTTATCAGGGGTGACCACCAGTAT